AAAGGCGTATTGACCAGGTATGTACTTACCTCGAGTTCGAAGTTTATCATTTAGGTCACCAATGACTTGCTCTACAGGATGCCTCTTCTGTATATGAGGAGGGGCTGTAGGTTGATTTGAGATGGGATCCTGATGATCCTTAGACGAAACTTCAGTTCGTGATTTAGAGCTGATTTCTGCTGCACTGTTGTCAGATTCTTCCTCAGGTTTTCTCTCCTCAAGACCTCGAATCATCTCAAGCATGTCATATAACAGAGGTTCCTGTTCACACTTCTCATCAAGATTATTAGTATCATTGAAAACAACATGAACAGATTCCTCCACCTTTCTAGATCTCTTATTATACACACGATAAGCTTGCCCTTTAATTGAATAGCCTAGAAATATGCACTTATCAGACTTGGCATCGAATTTTCCAAGGTAATCCTTGGTATTTAGAACATAACAAGGGCAGCCAAACGGATGGAAATATGACAGATTTGGAGTTCTATTTTTCATTAATTCATAAGGAGTTTTTCCCAATCCTTTTCGAATAAGAACTCTGTTAATAACATAGCAAGCAGTGCTGACTGCTTCTGCCCAAAAGGATTTAGGCAGGTTGTATTCGAGGAGCATAGTACGAGCACATTCAATTATAGTTCTGTTTTTTCTCTCCACTACCCCATTCTGTTGGGGAGTTCTAGGAGCTGAAAAGGTGTGAGTGATCCCAGATTCATTGCAATGAATCTCAAACTCATCAGACACAAATTCTCCACCGTTATCACTCTTGATAGTCTTGATTTGATCACTATAGATATTAACAAAAGTCTTAAATTTTCTTAAAGCTTCATCTTTATTTGATAGAAAATAAACCCATGAGAAGCGAGAATAATCATCAACAAGAACAAGCACGTAATTTTTTCCTCCCAAACTAGTCACGTTACATGGGCCAAACAGATCCATATGGATCAGTTCAAAAGTGTTTTTAGTAGTGATATCTGGCTTGACTTTGAAAGATTTTTTTCTGTGTTTACCAGCAATGCAGGTTTCACAGAAGAAATCATTTTTTTCTTTCAAGACAGGTATCCCACGAACACAGTTTGACTTAGCCAGTTCTACTAGTTTAGGAAGACTAATATGACCCATCCTTCTGTGCCAGAGCATCTCTTGCTGACTTGAAACAATGAAGCATGTTTCATTAAAGGCACTTAAGTCATTTAGGTCAATGACATACATGTTGTTAACCCTTTTTGCGACAAACAGAACTTTGCCATCTTTTAATCTCTCAACAGTGCAATGATCAGCTTTGAAGGCAACTTGATTACCATTGCTACATAGTTGACTAATGGATAAAAGGTTGTGCTTCAACCCATCAACTAACAAAACATTACGAAAAGAAGGCAGAGGCTGTTGACCAATGGTTCCACACCCAATGATGATACCATGGCCATTATCACCGAATATAACTCTACCACCATCCATAGGTTTTAAAGAAGTGAAAAGAGATTTCTTACCAGACATGTGGTGTGAACAACCACTATCTAAGTACCATTTTCTTTCTTCTTGATCAGATTTCTCTGATAGAAGATTCATTTCATTAGTTACCTTGGACAGTTCTGCAGCCATAAATGCTTCTTCATCAGACCTGTTAGCTTCAGGTTCTGAGTCGTAATCACTCCACGACGCCTTCATTGCTCTTTCTTTAGCTTTCAGAGTTTGGGGGCAATGAGCCCTTATGTGGCCGAGCTTTCCACATTTGTAGCACGCCTGAGATTCCTTTTCCAGTTGACCTGTTTCAGAATTTCTGGTCTGCTGTGACAGCAGCCTGTCTTGATAGCCAGATTTGTTACGATCATAAAAGGTAGGTCTTGACTCATCAGAAAATCTTTTCTGATCATTTTTATACTTTAGCATACGGTGAAACTTCTTGCTAACTAAGGCAAATTCCTTATCAAAGTCATTTTCACTATCAGAGTCATAATTCACCGCTTTGGATTTGAACGCAAGATTCTTTTTACGTTTCTCATCTTCTTGCCCAACTTGTTTAATAACATGCTCATAGCTAAGCAAGGAACCTATGAGCTCATTGATAGGTAAAGTCGTTAAATTCTTAGCTTCCTCAATCGCAGTGCGCTTAGGAAGCCATTCCTTAGGTAACGATCTAAGAATCTTCCTATTTAGGTCCTTAATTTGAAAGCTTCTTCCTAACCCTTTTAATTTGTTAATAAGCACAGTAAACCGAGAATACATTTCATGTATTCCTTCACCATCTACCATATTAAACGTTTCATAATCATGCATCAACAAATCAATACGAGATTCCTTGATATTAGAGGTACCTTCATAGGTGTTTTCCAGCGCGGTCCAGATTTCTCTTGCAGTCTCGCAGTTCTCCACTTGATCCGCTTCATCTGGATTCATTGCTGACTGGAGTACATGCATGGCCCTCTGGTTCAACTGAGCGCTTTTCTTCTGCGCCACAGACCAGATTTCCTGCTCGTCTATGTTCATCGGGATCGGTCCGTTCTGAACAATTAGCCAAAGTTCCTCATCGACTCCCCACATGAACTGTTTCATCCGTTTTTTCCACGCGGTGTAATTCGAACCGGTGAAGATGGGGGGATGATTTAAGGTGGCTTGCCCAAATGACCCTGACGCCATCGAATACCTTGGCAGCAGTTAGCTTCGTCAAGGCAGTGGCTCTGATACCACTTGAGATCAGGTTTGAGGATGAAATTAGGTCACGAAAAGGGAAAAGAGGAACAGATGAAGAAGACCAGAGAAGAATGACTTTTGGCTATCTACTGATCGAAACCAGAGACTATAATACAACTTCTCTGGGCTAATAGTAGATTAGTGGGCCGAGACAGGGCAGAAAAGATCCGTTGATTTAAGATGGGCTGAAGGCCCAATCTCTATGCTGCAAATCCAGCAATCAGCTTTTATCTGCCTAAGAGTCTCGACGAACAGAACCAGAGCAGCAAGACACAACGACTGAGAGTGCAAGGAAGAAGGTGCAGGAAAGTAAAGAACACACGATGTTTTTTAACGAGGTTCGCCCAAGTGCAATGGATACTTCCTCGTCCCAGAATACAGTCTGGGAGACCCTTTTATTGAATCTGGAAATTAACGACTCAAGTTGTAAAAGAAAAGAACAACACAGCAGAAGATAAACATACACCGAAACAAGGACCAAAACCTCAGATCAAACTAATCTGAGAAAACCAAACCACTAGAGAACCTCTTCCCCTCTAGCACACCCTTTTGCTGAACTAAGTCCTTTGCCACTTAGTTCTCTTTCTCCGCAAAAGTTGCTAGGCTCTGCTGATAAAGGAACATATATATAGTGATGAAGCTAGCCGTTGCACCAAATCAGGAAGGCTCCCAGAATTGTTCCAAAACGAATCTCGATTGAGCAATTTCCCTTTTTGGAGAAGATCAGCAACGGTCAGAAGACAATTCTGACTTTTTAAAGTCCAACAGTGGGCTGGGTGAAGACACGGCTCCAGTAGATCCAAAAGGAAGTACGTAATGTTGCTATCATCCATCTATGGCTGCCAAGCCCTAAAAAGGGAAGAAACTTCATCATTTTGTTCCCTCCGTCACTGTTTTTAATACTACTGAGTACAGCTGTTCAGTCGTCTTCTGCTTCCATGGTACCGCTGCTCACCAAACCACAATAACTCCCTTTGGCAAGTGAGAGTGGGTGGCTAATTTTCTCCAAAAATGGATGTGTATGCATTGTAAGCAATATGGATTCTTATAGATTATCAATCATGGCAGCGGGTTCGTACACAACACATAAGACTTGTGGTGCGCTATGTAAGTATCTTTCTTATTTATGATTGTTGTACCATTGATGGCTCTAAACTTTGAACTTAAGATATTAGAGGTGTTCAAACAGGGTGGTTACCGTGTTAACCGGTAGTATTTGGATAATTTGGTTTGATTTATTTGGATAATTGTTTTGGTTTGATTTGATTTGGTTAAATTTTTTAGCTTGTTTGGTTTAGATAGTTTGGTTTGATTTCAGACACTCCTAACCAATCAAATCAATTTAACCAGTTAAGTAATTAACCATATATCTAATATATTATATGCACATACTTAATACTTTGCGAAACCCCTTAAGAGTCAAATGTAGGATAATAGTATTAGTTACATATATTTATGTTAAGTATTAACTATAATTATGTGCTGGATATTTATGTGTTATTCATTATATAAATTTCAAATTTATACACTAACCGGAAAATTTTCTCACTTAATGATAATGTGATGGTATGTTGGTTAATCAATTAACCAAACCGAGTAAACTTTAGTTTGGTTAATTTGATTGTTGTATTAGTTTGGACGTTCTGGTTATGATATTGTATTCTATGATTAATAGAATTTAAATTTATTTGGTTTGGTTTGGTTTGGTAATTACTATGGAAACCATTTGAATACCCCTATAAGATATAGTGAATTTTATCCGCTAATTTAGATAGACCGGCCGGCTTTACCGTCTTGTCATGGCATAGCACAATGATCCAGGCTTTGACGTTACACAAATATAGTGAGACCAATATAGAGGAAATCAATATAGCATTTCATATCACAAGGTTCTTGATAGGAGGATCAGCCTAACTGATTGAACTCTAACGGATAGAAACGACTAACTAACTGATTGAACTCTAACGGATAGAAACGACTAACTAATTCAACCCTACACGTGGCAGAAACTGTAGCGAATGAGAAAGTGTGAAGAGAAAGAAACGTTTCCAAGCTCTCAGTTCTCGGATTCGCTTCTACCATAAAAAAAAAAATAACCCTTATCCCCAAACTGACCCGCCTCAACGCAGTTCAGAAAACCAGCAACATACCCATGGCAGGGAAAGTAAAATCACACGTATGTAGGGATGTGTGACGATCTGGCACCAACCGGATCAAACCATGATAAAATATTAAAAGAATCTAAAGATCAAGAACATGATCATCATTGTATTCAGCTTGATCTAGTCCAATTCAAATATCAATTCGATCCATAATTTTCTGTATTCATAAAATTTATGGGACAATTCCATCCGGTATGGCCTTGATCCAAATGTCAATCTGGTATATTATTACATTCCGGTACGGATCAAACCGCTGCACCCCTACCGAGCTAGAAGGAGCTAATACAGGTTTGACAAGCTTGCTTAAGATTGATTGAGTGAGTGAGTGAGCAAGAGCAGACAAATGTTATTTAAACTCATAGAAAACAAGAAAAGAGAAACTCCACGCACCTCCCTGGCAAATATATCACTTATTATGGACCACCCAAAAAGTTTGATGATTACCTTTCCCTCTAAAACCTTGTGTCCACTTTGGTTCATCTTCCACCATCAACATCCAATCTTTCATTCTCTACTTGCTCAAATCAAGACAGTCACCTTCCTGTCGCGATCTACTTGTTCGTGATCAACAAACCAACACATGACAACGACAACAATAACCCATTTCCTCCCTCCATTCAATCAAATCCCTGGAATTGGATCTAGCCTCCACCCATATACCACTACTAAAACACCCCTACTTGTTTGAAAATTTCCCCCTGGCTCAATATCTGCAGACAGAGATATTATATATTGAACGAAGAAAGGAAGAAAGAAATCAGACAGACAGACTAAAGATGCTTAAGTTCCACATTTCCTACCAAACCTTCCAAAGTTCTTCGTCATAGCCAAAGGACATGACTTGTAATGAGAGCCTGCAAAACTCGAGCCATAAGAAATTCAGAGGCTGTAAAATTTCAGGATTGTACCAGATATTCTGGTTAATCATGGGACCAGCTTCCTTCTCTGCACCAATTAGCCAAGGGAAAGGTTGTAAAATGTAGGTGCGAATTCAATAGGGAAGGGACCATGACCATATAGTACTGACAGACAGCAGAGTTTTTTTTTTTTTTTTTAACTAGGACAGTAGAAGTAATAATAATACATACAACCTACATCAGATGAATGGTGAAGCAATGCATTTGAGTCAGGATTGAACCCAGCGGGCCATGAATCAGCATGCAAGCCCTAGACCAATCTGCCATGTGCTGTATATTTTCTATAAATACACCCTTATCTCTTCTCTTCCCAATAAGTTCCTTCCAGAACTGGCATATCCTGGCACAGTTTGAACTTGTAAAAGCGAAAGCAAGGAAGTCTGGGTTGTTCATTTAGGTCCACCTAGCCAACCCAAACAGTCCAATAATGTGAAAAAATTCAAAGAACTGAATAACATGACTACATAATCAAGTGCTTTGCTTTCAGATAAGATAACAGATAAATGATAACCTGGCTTCTCATAGTGATAACAGAACACAACCAATCGTTTCGTAGTTCGTATTACCAAAGTTTGAATTGGACATTTCAGGTTATATTAGAAAATATAACAACAAAATGAACCTTAATTCTTGGTTCTCCTGGATGGACTTCTAATCCGCTTCAATCATCGTCGTGGATGGACCGGACCACCTAGCACTTCCTAGATGTACTTCTAACACAAGCCAACTCCAAATTTCAGAAGCTCAGTTCTTGCTGTAAGAAGTCTAGAGGGGCCGAACATATGAGAAGCCCAGTGGACCTAAACTATTCAACAAGAATCATACCTTACACAGAGGCATCTTGAATATAAGAGAAGTTGCAAAGATAGTAGTTGCTATTTGCTGTTCTATTGCTCAAAGTCAAAAGCAGGTTGCAGAAAACAATTCCAACGGCAGAGTAGCAGTTATTTCCCAATAATATAACTGCAACCATCTATGAATTTAATCACGTTAAAGTTTTACTCATTGAAGCCTTCACAACTGGACTGGACTGGACTCCTTCAAACCCAGATAACACTGCTCTCTAGTTGCTGCCAGTTAGCTGACAGATTACAATCATGGAAGCCGTATGAGCTTGTTCACCGCCGAGTCCAGAGCATCCACATTTCTTCTCAGAAATTTCCTTCACATGGTCTTAAGGAAAAGCCAAGGCCACTCGGACAACTAAAGAGGGATTTAGTCAGCTTTATTTAGGTAATGCATGGTTTTTATGCTGCCTAAGCAGATCATCACTGAGAAGCAAGATTGCCACCTTATATGCTCAACCATCGTATTGCAGAAGGATGAACTGAGAAAAAGGCCTAGTCTTCTGCCCAGTCAAATGGCCTGAAGGCATGTAAAGAGGAACAAAAAGGATACAATTGAGCAGCCAATGTTTCAATGCCCTTGAGTTCCTCATTTAACCTGACAATGGAATTGTAGACTCAGATTGAAAAGCATCTTAAATGTTAACAGTCATTGAGATAACAAAATTCTTAAGGACTCTAAAAAAGTCTATTAACTTGAGTTCCTAAGGCAGTAATGTGAAAAGCCAACATCTTATGAACAAAACCGTTCATGTAAAAATTCTAGATTCAATAACTGGGAACAGACATTAGTGGTTAGCACTTAGCACCACTGTGTACAGCCATGTATCAAGAGCTGGACTCTAAACTGCCAGCCACAATGGCAGAAACCACAAGAGAATCACTGGATTTAAAATGGTCTTCGTTCGTAATTCAGCCACTTTTGCAAGTTATCAAACCCGAACCACAACAGAAATTCTATCAACAGGACAACGGGAGACCTAAGTTGGGCAAACATCTCCAACTTTAATGGCAAAAACTAGAACTTTGCCTGTTAATATGAAATTTCTCAAAGAGATTCTAATCAGCACAGTTCAGAAGTACCTGAGAGATGAATTGATGTAGCGGTTACCCTTCGTAGCTGCATCCAGAACTGCCCACAAAACAATCAATTCAACACAAAGTTGAGAGAACGCAACGATCAATTCAACAAGACATCAGAAACCAGCTGCAGTTTACCGGATTCTTGAAGGCGGCCAGTGGCATCACCAAAGCAGTGCATATGATCGACGGAGCTGTTCGTAGCCTTCACAAAGTATTCCACAAATATTCATTTCAGCTCCCGCGTTCCTTTCTCGGAAACCAAACAGCGAAAAGGGAAAAAAGGAAACAAAATTAATATCAGCTAAAAGTGAGAGAAACCAGGCGACCTCAGAGAGTGCTGATCGGAGCGAGGAGAAAAGAGAGGTGAAGCTCTCCGCAATGGCCAAGGAGTCCTTCTCCACGACTTTCACAGCCTTAACTATCTCCCTCCGATTCAGCTCCGTTGCAGCGCGCTCATCCGGCAATTCCAAACCAGTGGACGATCCGTCGAGCTCCGGCTGCTCCGTGACTGATTCTCCGCGTTCACCGCTGCCGCCTTCCATCGCCAACGTTGATCCACCGAACTTCTTACTGCCGGACCTTTGAGTAAACGCCGAAGAACAATTCAGAGGTCTAAATAGGTGACGGCGTCGTTCTGGCAGTTTCAGTCAGGCAGGACCGAAGGAGGTGACAGGTGTGCCTTGTTTAGGGATTTTTCCCCAACATATTAGGGGTCGTTGCTCAATTCTGTATTTGGTGCTCAAAATGGAGCTGGATTAACAATGGGAGGCTGGGATTATTTTGGGTACAAAATTTGTGGAGTTGGACAAAAAAAAATTCTAATAATACTATACTTACACTAAAATTTATAGATTAATAGAATTTGGTGTGATTCGGTATAGTGTCCAACAATCTTGAGAGTAATTCGTTAGACATGAAAGCGATCTACACCGGATGGCGATCAACCAAAGCGAATCAACTTTGAAACAACTTGAATCGCTGGAGACAGTGAGAAACACACATTTTGTTGCTGACCCCAACAATCTTGTCCAAAAATCGCTAGAAAAACCTGCGATCTACACCTAATACACGTTGAAAATTCAAATTGTCATAAAAAAAAATTGGCCACAAAATTGTATTTACCATGCATAAATTTCTGCACTTGTTTTGGAATATGATGCGGTTGCTGACATGGAATTTCACTTACGGTATAATTATCGGTAATGGAGCAACAATTACAATTTTGAAATGTTATAAAAGGTTTGGTTATTATTTTCTATTTTCAAAGATTAGGCTAATACTTTGTTAAAATGAAAATGATTTGACTAATAAATTGTATTTAATCTAATATATTTGGTATTCCAGAGCCTTTGAATTCAAGAATCATTATTAGTCACCACTGGTATGGGGTGAGCAATTGGTTTATATAACTCGAATTGAACCGGTTGGATGAACACTAATCAATATTCTCGATATAGAAAGAAAAATCAATTAGAATGCAAATGTATGTAGTTTAAATGAATTTTAGGTTCACTGTAGTATCATCTGATATAGCAACCGTTGCAGTTGTCATTTCAGCATATTTTTCAAATTCGATAAACCCTGATAAAATTTTTACCATAAAAGATACATATGTATACGTTCAACGGGACAAGTTATCTATCTAAATTTAAAATTTATTTGAATTTACGCTCCCTCCCCTCCCCTGTCGAATCGAAGCGGCCTATGAACTTGTAATAAATTCATATATCCTGATTTATTTATTCAATACTCTTCTCGGTAACATACTCATTTTGCTTTGTTCACATAATCACACTTTGTTTCTAGTTTGTGTGGAATTTCAGTTCCCCCTCCCGAAAGCAATGTGCTTTGTGAGTTTGTCATCAATTCATCCCAACGTGAACAAAGCCATACAAACACCAAGACCCAACAATACACGCCATGACAATTCATTCGATGAGCTTTGGAGTTATGTGGAAGAGACTTTGCGCCTCCAAGATAATGACGAAAGCATTTACTTCTCCGTTCGTCGCAACGGTGGCCGCCTCATGGAGTCGTCGGCAACAACAACGACACAAAACATGCCGGTGACGAGTCTATCACCCCAACAACGAGTCGTCGGCAACTGCTGCCGGCAACGTTGCTCGCCGGAGAAATAGCGCATGTGTGTGAGTGTGGCACCGGTGCGATCTGGTGACCCGGCCCGATCAATTTGTTTTCACTTTTCTTATGTCCAACGTTTCGTCTATGCAGATTCCTAGTGTTGTTATCTATTGATGGATTGGAATGAATGAATGAATGAATATGAAGAGATTATTAATTAAAAATAAAATCAAGGAGCCTCGAGTTTTCTTTACTACGCGACATAATTTTTACATTCATAATTAAAGCTAAATACAAAGTTCAAGCAGCATTCGGCTGCGGCGGCAAAATCTGAAACCTACAGACAGGACAAGTCTCGCTGCCGACCTTCAACCAGTGACGGATGCAGTCTCCATGGAAAATATGGCCGCACGGCGTCCTCTTGGGCCTGGCTTCTTCTTCGTGGGCCTCCCCGCCAGGCCCGCCACATATCTCGTCCAAACAAACGCAGCACTCCAGGCCTTCTTCCCAAGCGGCCCCAACCTCCGTCAACGACTTGTCAATCGCCGCTTCTCGAGCCCTCGTCAGCCTCAGTTGTAGATCCCGCAGCTCGTCCTCCGTCACCATCACAATATTCATCAACTCTCCCCCGTCAAAGTGGATTTCCAACCTCGACATCTCTTCTTCTTCTTCTTCTTCTTCTTCTTCTTCTTCTTCTTCTTCTTCTTCTTCTTCTTCTTCCATGCCATCCCATTCGCCGTCGCTATCGGGGAACGCCGAGACACCGTCGTTGCCGGAAGGTTCCAGAATGACCGGCGTCAGGTGGCGGCGTAAGTGCTCATCGTACAATGACGTAAGCATACCTCGGCGCTCGAGGTCCTGGGTTGCTTCGGAACCCCCAAGCAACCTCAGAAATTCCGCAACGGTAGACATATCGACACAACTTGATTTCCACCGATGAAAGAAGGAGTAAACTCGATTTCGCTCTGTTTTTTCTTTCCGATCCGAATTACTTAATCCGACTTTCCTAATTACTGGTTTTATTTATACCAGCGAGACATCAACCTTTACCAATTTCTACTCGGAAAAGGAAAACAGTTTCCCAACTGGTTAAGGAATTTGTATAAAAAAGCGGAAATCCCTGACCGATTAGGAGACGGAAACAGAGTCCCCTGTTTTATATATAAATAAATAGAAACGAAATTGGTAACTTTATACAAGGGGGAAAGTAAACAGACGCAGACATAGCTCAGAAATTTCTCTCCTTGGCAAGACTCCAGATCCGCCGCTTCCCACTTCCGGCGATATGTCGTTTTCCTTCTTCTTCCCGCCGTTCTTCTCGCTCGGTCCGGACGATGACGAATCTGCCTCCTCCGACCATGAGGAAGTCTGCGACGAATGGGCATCCGATGATGATGGGAATCTGTCAGAATATAAGTTTTCCAAGGTGTTGGACGACCACCTGAAAGGCGTGAGTGTGGCGGAGCTGGGTTCCGACGTGGATTGCTCGATTTGTCTGAACAGTATTCACGACGAGAGGGCTCCGGGTGCTGGTGGCTGGAAATCCAGGTTACTTGCGCTCTCTGTCTGTCTCGGCTTCCGGTTGGCTTAAGGGGTACGTCGTACTTGTGCTTAAGTCAACCGGAAGCACAAGTACCGGCGATGGTCTTCTTTCACCGAGGACGCCTACGGTTCGGACAATCGGACGGGCGTGTTAATGAGGATGTTATCTTTGTAATTGTTATTTATTAATTTTTTATTATTTGACTTCTTGGACGGGAATGATTCTTTTGATTGGATATTTTTAGGTTTAGATGGTGGGACATCATGTAATCAGGGGTTTTCAGTTTAGTAATGGTACTTGTACAGTTCACTAATCAATAGGGATGTCAATTTCGACCTGACCCGTTTTATCCGACCTGTTTGGCCTGTTTTGGGGCGGGGCGGGACGGGAATGGGTACTCTCATCAACCCGACCTGCCCTGACCCGCCCCATTCTCGACCCGCTCTTATCTAAATTGCATGTAAGTTTAGTCAAACTATTTAGGATTTTTTTTTATAATAAAGTTGTAAATATTCAAAACCTCAATTTATCCAATAATTTAACTACATTTGTCATAATATTGTTTGTTTCCTTGTTCTAATAATAAAAAGAATGCATATTTCTAATGTTTTTCATATAACTTGCATACCCATTGGGTCGACCTGCCCCGACCCGCGACCCGTGATAAATTACCCGACCTAAACCTGATCTGCCATGGGGCAGGTCTGGGTACCAAGAAACCCCCCCCGGACCTGCCCATTGTCATTCCTACTACTCAAAGAGGGTGATATTGTTGAAGCCTTGAAGGATTGAATATTGATCTTTATTTTGTTGCTCTCATGTTATGCTATTATTACTAAATTATTGTTTATATTCGATTATCTTGTATTAGTAGGAAATTTTTACTTTCGTATTTTGTCAAATCTCCCTAATGGTACTTTTGGGAACCCTCTCTTGAGAGGAATTTTAGAATGCTATAGAGCATTGGTGTTATATGTTTTTGCTTTTATAGTATAATTTGAAGTTGTACCTTTATGGCTTGTTTGCTTGATGGATTTGGTGAAAGATTTGGGTTCATGATGAATTTTGTCCAAAATTCATTGTTTGCTTCAAGTATTTAGAAGTACCAAATCCGTGGGACCCATAGACTTTGAGGGTCCAAATCCGTTGGTCCCACGGACTTCAAAATCTCATCTTTCTCAGCCTGTTTGGAAAGACTACATTTTGAGGAAATGGAATTCCAATTTCCAAACTTTCCATGTTTCTCATGTTTGGAAGTAAAAAGTAAAAAGGAAATGGAATTCCAAAAGGTAAAAAGTTGGAAATTCTAAATCCTACCGAAAGTGGTCGGAATTGGTGGAGGGAGTGATGGAATTAGTGGACCCCACATTAATTTTGGCTCACCTTTACAAGAAAGCCCTTACTACTTTAGGATTTGAAATCATTAATACCAAGGATATTATTGTAAAAGCACTTGTAAGAAATCATTTTCATTTTTTTCAAACATAAAAAGATGAAATCATTTCCCAAACTTTTGGATTTGTTCCAAACATAAAATTTTAAAATGACTTCCCACTTGAATTCAGATTCTCATAAGAAATGGAATCCATCATTTTTTACCAACCTACCCCTCATATTTTCTTTCTCTTCTTATATCATTGATCTTATATAATTGAGGGCAATAAAAGTAAAGTTCATTTTATACATACAAGTTTAAATGACAAAATCCATGAAACATACAATAGTCTTTTTCAAATTCATAATGAACCCAAAACCCTCATATATCAATGGTTTATCAAAACCAAAGTTATACCAAAACCTTTATTTTTCAAATCCACGAAGCAAACGATCCCTTAATGTTATGCTACAATTATATATATTGTACTTATACTCTTTTATACAAATTCTTTTATGGTACAACTTGAACTTGTATCTTTATGTGACGGTGCACCTTTAACTTTAAGTTGTAAAATTTTACCATAATATAAGGGTACAACCTAAGCCTATACATTTGACGTTATGGTACAACTTCAAGTTGTACATTAAAGCACCACTACTTTATAGTATAATAGAAGTGCTCCTCTCTTAAACTCCCACA